TTATCAAACTGTGTAGTTTGCTTGCATCACAATATAAAGATAGGGTCTTAGGGTACAGTTTTAGTTGTGAACACAAGGGACTGAGCACACACCCCTGAGGGATGCCATTGATGAACACCAAAGGAGGAAGAGGCATTACTATCAATGAGGACAACTCTTGAAGAGGCCAGAAATCTAGAGGTGGTGTGTTGAAGCCTGTTGATCTATGTTTTACACTGAATCTAGTATGAACAATACAACAGTTGATTAGTGAATAGATCAGAAACATTTCTTGTCATGACTGAACAAAGCAAAGTTAGAAACGATAGTGTTAACTCTATGACAAAAAAGTGTTTCCTTTTTTGCCACCTGTCAGTATATATTGTAAGGTATATTTGTTCCAAGAGGATGTCCTTAACAGATGGGGTGAATCTCCTCACATCCACACTTAGCCACTGACACTCATTTATTGTGTACTCTGAATCAAGATCATGSCAGTTTGTCAACAGAGGGACTGAGTGTTTATCTGCATCCCATGAGCCCCATTCTTTATTCTGAATCAATATGAAAAGAACCAAACAGTAGGGCTGAGCTCTGTCGCTGGCTTATCACATAGACTGACAGAGGCAGAGATAGGAAGTTTGCTCCAAGCCAGAGAGATAGACAGTGTGAACACGTGTTTGATTGCTAAGACACACTTATTCTAGAGATGCACAGAAACCCATACTCAGTGTGTAGTTTACAATGCTGTTTAAAAAAAAGCACAACATTGAAAACAAATTGCAGGAACAATGTATTTTATTAGTACTTGATAATTTATGTTCCATATTGTTTAAGACTCACATTTACATGCAAAACTAGTGTCTGAAAGATGAGGAAGACAACTTTTTTCCTGTCGCTTAAATAAAATCCAATGCTCATTCCACTGTTTAAGTTAAACTATGTTGCTGCTGATCATCTCATTATCTGTGTTTACATTTTGTGGCAAGAGTGATGATTCGTTGGGCGTTCCTGCCAAAGCCCTGACAGACGAAAGCAACGGGCAGCAAGGAGACGCTAGATAAAAGGGTCGAAAATCAAGCAAGCCAAAGTTTTGTTGTCTCTTAACAAGCAGACTTGTTTATCAGCGGTGTGCATCAGAGGAGCAGAGCAGACCGGGCKCTGCCGAGCTTTCAGTTGCTTCTCATTTCTGCGGCGCAGCAGGGGATCAGAGAGCGGGAGAGATGCAGGGCAGCAACAGATTGAGAGAAAAGGAGGAGGAGGGGAGGGAGGGAGCAGGGCTGAGGGAATTTGCTAGATCATTAGTTTACAGTGTTGTAGTATTGACCTCCGATTGGACCCCCGTAGACAACAGGGCTCTGGCTCATGTAAATGTGCAGAAGCTTAAAATGCTACTGACCTGTATGGATCTTTGATCATTGATCAAACATTTAGATCTTTATTTTGTCCTCATCACAGATATATTCAGTTGTGTTCCATAACTCAGATATAAAATTTGTTCTAGTGTATTGCAGTATAAATATGGCATGCTTCAGGAAAAAAAGTGCAACTTTTTCTGACTGTTTCCTGTTTTAAAGATATATTTTCAGGATGTAAAACCTGACAAAAAATATAATCTGTGTGTTTAACCTATTAAACATAATCTATTAAACTTTATCAGTGCAAATGTCATATTAGAAATAACAATCTATGACAATCTGACATAACYTTTGTGGTTTAACTAACCTGAAAGGTTGTTGGGCGCGATGAGCTTTATGAATGTTATCTGTATTGCAAAATGAGCGAGTATATATTAAAATATACCTGACTTTTTATTCTTCATTCCAAATATTTTATTAGATGTATTCACTGGGGCACAAAATATTGAAAATACATTTCATTGAGCTTGTAAAGGAAGTCTGTCTGACTTTGCTTTAAAAAATCAATTCAATCACTAAAGACGTATTTAAATATCGCTTTGAATCATGAACATTTCCCCTTATGCTAATGATCTTGTTGGGGATGGACTGGTTGTCTGTTCTGGTTTCATCTCACTTCAGTGGTTTGAGTAAACCCAGTATAGACTAAAATTACAGTGGCCAAATTTATTCAGTTCATGTAAGCTTTTGCCTGAAGATGAGGGAATCGGGGTCTGTTTTTGCAGTTTCTTTAGCCCTTCAGATAGAAATGCTGCTCAGCCCCCTCTCCCCGCCTCTTTCCCCTCTGCCTGTACCTGTGTTATGGTCTGCGCTTGATTTTGATTAGGAGTGACAGTACACGACCACTGACTGTGTACTGCAGTTGTTCAGCGAGTGTAGGTTTCAGTCACTGGCAGTCAGAGGACACATTCCACATAGTTCTGGGATTGTGGTTCTGACTGAGTAGCATTGCAGCACATAGTGCACATTCCCTTTTTCCTTCCTTCTTTCTCTCTCTCTCTCTCTGTTATGAATCATGGAACAAGCTCTGCCAAGTAGGCACAGGCTCTGCTTCTCCCTGCTTCTTAAAACACATTTTTTGYTAGTTTGTTTTATCAAAAATAATTTTTTTTATTAAAAATGCACAATAACAACAAGCTCAAATTGTAAAACCACCGTTTGTAGCTGTAGAACAACTCAGATGAGTGTCATTTGGTTCAGTCTGTGTTTTATCTGCCACCCGCCAATCTGGGACAGACTGAAGCACTTCTGGTCCTGTAAGGATTATCATTCTACACACACACACACACACACACACACACACACACAC